TTTTTACCACTGGATAGATTTATTCCCTTTATTATTGTTACAAATGTGGGTTTTCCTTAATACTTGCATGTATATAAATCATATATAAATAAATAAATGAATAAATGCGTAAAATGTGTAGGCGACTGTTTCGACCAGCTGGTGGAAAGCATATTATTACAGAACACCCCATTTGTATTACATTTTTCATAATGATCCTTTGAACATATATATGTGTATGCATATGAATAAATATATGTTTTTAATTCTTAACAATTGAGTTGAAATAAATAAGAATATTGTATGAGAATAGAAGCATGGATAATGTTTTCGGTAAATTTTATCGATTCTGTTAGACATGAGATTACAAATAGCAGTTCCAGCCAAAATGTACACTTTATAACAGCTTTCATCCACCTATGCATACACAGCCTGATAAAAGTCTGATAAAATAGATGAAATATCTTGCACTAGCTAGTGAACTAATAAAAGTATTATTGACTGTCAATAATCTGTACAATAGAATACGGAGTTTTCATTATTCTCAATCAGTATGTTATTCTTGTTCGAAGTCGTTTAAAATTGTCACTATTTCTATTGAAGTACACTCTTTTGGTTCAATGGACATTCACTCTTAACACAGAATGAAAGTTTCGTTGCACCACTGGAAAAATAGGCATGAATGTAGCTTATTTAGAAAGTATGTCATTTTAACATCAGATAACTGCTGCGATGAACGCATTCAATGAGAATGAATTGGATTCAAGACATCTTTCATCATGGAAAACTATTAGTTAACAGGTCATTGAGAGTAAACATTCGATTAGAATATCTAAACTATATTTCCACATATATATAAAAATACATCACATTCTCTTTCAAAATTACAATTAACTCTAATTGAACAACAAACACATTCATTCATCAACAAAGAAAGAAACACACTGCAATCACAAATATCAATCAGATGTCAATCACAATACACTACTCAACATATCATCTAATTACACTTCACATCACATCACGATCAATCATCTCACACTTGATGGAAAATATGTCATCCCTGAAACGGAAGACAAGCGATGAAAGCTTCATTCCGTGTTACAAAGAAACACCCACATCATTGCTATCCCACTTTCCTTCCGTCATATAACATTCGGTAGATTCTAGTGCTGACAGGTCATCTCTGAAATGCTCATGACTTAGTTAACAGCTTCACTGACTAGTGTACAATGAAGATGATTTAGCTGCATGAAGCTAACGGAAAACAAGTTTCTTGTTCGAATCCCAACACTTTTTCACTAGATTATATGCAATGACTATAAATAAATATCTTGAAACATTCAGCAATCCTCACACTGAGAGATTGTTTGTCAACATGGTTGGTTGGTAAGTGGCTTGTTGAGAGTGATGCCTGCAATGTTTGTGTAATTATGACACGAAGATTTTCAGTGAATCCGCCGTCTTAGTTGTGTTGTGATTGAGATAAGCACACTAACATAAATCGATACTTGTGGATGTCTTAAAGCAGTTTGTTAATCTTTATGAATGCTTTGTTAAAGAATGTTGTTCCTTTGATAAATCCGATGTGAATGTAAACATTATGATTTTAGCTGACTTCACACATAACTACATATATGTTTGTTCATATTAGTTGCAGTTAGGTGAAAGCATTTCTTTTATCAAAAATATGTATGAACTAAGTCATCTTGTTACGAGCTATTTTATCATGGTTATCTTAGATTTACCAAATAAATTCCTTGGGTAAAATGAACTCGACAGAAAGTGTTAAATTTTGGTACCAATTTATTCCTAATGACTTCACACCACTATTCTGATCTAAATTCATCCAACTCAAAGGATATTATACTCAGGAAATAAACTTCAGATTATCCTAATATAGAACACTGTTGAAATGTGAAAGTAGTTTGCTTAAAAAATCACACCACAAACCTCAGAATACATTTTAAGTTACCTGGTTTGGCTAGGCCAGTTCTATGGGAATGTTGGCTTTTGGACGAACGTCTCAAGTTTCCTTGTCGAAATTTGAATAGTTATAGCAGTTCTGTGACTTAGAAATGACGCGTCTTAATCGCCAATCAGTGACTACATAGAAATGTGCATAATTTTAGTAAATCCACTATAAATATGCAGATTTGTTCCATTTAGACTCACAGTTTTTGCTGCTTTCGTTTTAGGTAAACAGTTGTGAAGTGTATTTTCTAAATTTTTCCCTTGGCGAACTGAGCATGGATTCGTACTGTTTTTTACTGATGACTGAAGTAAATCGATGAAATATAAGCTGCGAATGAGTTTTTCATTTGGTTCCAGCTGCTTAATTTTCTTGAGACTATGTCACACTTGTAAAACTGTCCTTTTTTAGAAAGGAATTAACTTATTCCTCAGGAGATCAGTTACAAGTTGTTTGTTAGTGAATACTAAATTAGGTTCAAAATGAAAAAGGATATAATTGGAAAATACGCTAAGGTAGCTGGATAAAGAAATGGCATCCATTTATATATTCTCCCATATTTTATTAGAACTGTCATTAGCAGGGTAGATTTTCAGATTTTGCTCTGCAAGATAAATGAAACAAATGAGCGGAGACTTTACATAATATTCGGTACTTATGTATTCAAATTTTCACTCAATGTCACCGAAACAGTCAAGCATCTGCATGTACTTTATTAAATACCCTTTATATTTGTCTTCGTAGAAGTGTTTCTGAGCTGAAATTGCTTTTAAACACAGCTCTGCTACACACTCTAGTTCTTCTTATAGCTGTTCATATTGACTTTATTTAGTTTTTTGTATTTTTGTGTTTTATTGAAGTCCAAAAGGCGGGCTGCTTGAACCTTGGGCTACCAAACATTTCCCACCGAACATGTATATATCAAGTTTTTTCTTTTCGATTTGTTTTTAATCATTTAAATATATCTTCTGGACGTTTCATGCATTCTTGCACATTTTAAAGATGTTTTCAACTCTCCCTTTTCTCAAATTAATAACAAAACAAAGAAACAATTTCACGATATATGGAAGTGGATATTTCAGTGTGCAAAAGCTATTGTATTCCTCTCCCTCGGGTACTTAGTCTGAGATACAGATTCTTGAAACTGACTGAATGGACCACCACCACAACCACCAAACTTATGCTCACATTTCTCTTGGTTCTTCATTATGAACCGGATGTTAATCGAAAAGTAATTGACTGTTTCACACTTTTGCCTTGAATACTGTTATTATTAACACTATACAGATGAAATAGCTATTTCGTATGAAAACATTATTCTGGGAGTGATTTTGTCGAAATTATATGTTGAGAATTCCATACGGTATCATACATATTGCTTGGCATATATCGCTTATTACTCTTACAATTAGTACTATTATTAAGCGTGCTAATGAAAAATGTAATAACTTCAACTACCTACCTCTTTGATTGTTCAACTTATAAATTACATCTTCATCTAGGAAGAGAATAGAAGTTAGGAACTAATGCTACTCAAAAATGAAATTAATTATTTAAAGAGTTTCTAGTAATTTTAAGTAGATATTATTGACGTAACCTTAAATGAAAACAAAAATTGAACATTTCACAGTGCATAAATAGATCGTTGTCACCTTCAAAGTGTATCCGATATTTCAGAATGAGGCATCAAATATCAACAAAGCATCGAAAAGTGAGTTTCAGCGATATTCACAAAATTCTCCCATTTACAATATTATGATTAAAAAGGTGCATTCATAAAGATTAACAAACTGCTTTAAGACATCCACAAGTATCGATTTATGTTAGTGTGCTTATCTCAATCACAACACAACTAAGACGGCGGATTCACTGAAAATCTTCGTGTCATAATTACACAAAAATTGCAGGCATCACTCTCAACAAGCCACTTACCAACCAACCATGTTGACAAACAATCTCTCAGTGTGAGGATTGCTGAATGTTTCAAGATATTTATTTATAGTCATTGCATATAATCTAGTGAAAAAGTGTTGGGATTCGAACAAGAAACTTGTTTTCCGTTAGCTTCATGCAGCTAAATCATCTTCATTGTACACTAGTCAGTGAAGCTGTTAACTAAGTCATGAGCATTTCAGAGATGACCTGTCAGCACTAGAATCTACCGAATGTTATATGACGGAAGGAAAGTGGGATAGCAATGATGTGGGTGCTTCTTCGCAACACGGAATGAAGCTTTCATCGCTTGTCTTCTGTTTCAGTGATGACATGTTTTCCATCAAGTGTGAGATGATTGATCGTGATGTGATGTGAAGTGTAATTAGATGATATGTTGAGTAGTGTATTGTGATTGACATTGATTGATATTTGTGATTGTAGTGTGTTTCTTTCTTTGTTGATGAATGAATGTGTTTGTTGTTCAAATAGAGTTAATTGTAATTTTGAAAGAGAATGTGATGTATTTTTCACGTATTCAGATATGATTTAGCAGTGTGTTTAGAATCCGGATTTGCGTAGATCACGAATCCGTTGGTTACATGTCACTGACTGAGATTATGCTATATTCGTATATCCCCGCGTGAGCTGGTTTGTTTTCTCAGTTATCAGCTACCTGGATTTAGATTATTACCTAAATTTCTTAGATTATTTTATGGTTAGAGCCTAATGTTTGGGTTATTTGTTTCATCTTGCTATTATTTATTGTAATGAAATCATTATTAAGATATAAATACTTGAAGCTCAAGAGAAAAACTTTTAGTTGAAGCCTATTTTTCTTAGTTTGAACTCTGAGTTGATGCAATTTCAAAATCGGGGAAGTTTTCAACTTAGCAAATCAAAATGTAAAGAGTTAACATCTCAGTACAAACTTCATACCTGCACAATATCGACATAACATATCAAAATAACATTTGAAGAGTTTACCATGAAATATCCAATCAGAATGGTGCTTAGGAAACCAATCAAAATTTAACTAGAAACAACCAGTCATATTTTCATGAAGTAAATGAACTGACCAGAAGTGTTTTGCTTATATTAATACACAACCCTTTTGCAAAAAAGCATTTGACAATTGAGAAGTGCACAAGATCTTTGAATGTTAGGATTAGCTGATACAAACAACGCTTTTCTGTGAAATAGTCAAAATTCATGATGGATTACATGCCTACTTTTTTCACATCCACCTCAGATTAAAAATGCTAAACGATTAATGAAAAACCTGTAAATTGGAAGGTAATTATATGACAATTTTGAAAGTAAGTAGATCTAGTTGACAGTTGCTGCACTTATATCAAATTATTTCTTAAATGTGTTACCTGACAAGTTGGTTTTAATTGATTGAAACCCCTGCTGTTTTACAAAATGTGACTTGAAACGACTACTAGCGAGTTTTTGTACAAACTATGTGAGTATAACTAGCTAACAATTGAATGTCTGATACTCTAATATGCTTCGATTGACGGTTAACATGCAGCCTAATCCATTTTGTTCCTGTAATCCGTAATAAATCCCCATAAACTTGTGAATACAGTTAATCAAAAACTTCGAGAGGTGATTCCCAAAGTCCCTGTGAGCAGCTGTAACCGGCAGGGTAAAGCAAATCGAAGATGAGGACAGTTAGTTTACCACAACATTGGGTGGAGGTCACGATAAATCATGAACTGATAGAAGTAGGAACTGGATTCGAACCCAGTGGCTGAAATGTAGGGTGCTGGCCTTCAAGCTGGGTTCGGTCCCTTTCTTAGTAATGTGTGGGCACTGCTGAGGAGCTCCACACTAGGACGAAATGGCTGTCCATTTTCCCCAGGTTTCCAGTGTTTCTCCAAGTGGTGTCAGTTCACGATGAATACCATCATGAAACCATAATAAGCTTAACTAACCTTTTGTTACGTGCCTAGTACAGCGTAGATTATCTGAAACATGTGATGTACCAACAGTACTCGCTTCGCGCAACTTGATCACATATAAATTTTTCAAATTGCTCTGATACAAAAGAGTCAATTAAGTGAATAGAATATAAGAAGTTTTTTATTAGTAGATGTGAAACCTGTGCTACTATTGAACTCAGGCGAAATACGCCTTGATCACGTAAGATATCCGTAGACAGTGTGTAATGTCGGCTTATACTAATGTTAGAACACTTTTACTCAACACACAGAGAGATTTAAAAGACTGTTACTTGTAAATTGTGCTCCAACACAAGACTAAATTGGTTTTCTATAAGCATAAAATGTTTTCGGAGTATAACATTTGGTTAGTCATCAGCTGACTGTCATCTCTTAGTGTTACATTCAAATTAGTAAGAAGGTTAAAATCTAGAATCTAGATATGGAGTTTTACAAAAAGAGTGAAACTTTTGAGGTCAAGAGATCATATACTGAGATTAAATGATAATAACTGCCAAAATGTGACTTAGGCTGAAATTATTACCAAACAAGTGTTTAATTAACCTGATGGACATAACACATGATAGTTGTTTTCAATGTTGCAGTGAGAAGTCTTTGATATGGATGAATCAGTTTTTTCTATTATACGTTTACTAGTCAATCAATAAAATCGTTTACAGAGGAGCTCTTCAGATAACTTTAGACAAGAGAAACGGAAATATATATTCATTTATGCATTCTAGTGGTTTAAAACTACGTTTCCTGCTTAACTAAGAATTCAGCAAAGATGTCCTATATGATCCAGGATAATGTCCTACAAATAGTTTATTAACATCAACCATCTAAATATTCCTGTAACAAAACAGCAACAATCTGAACGTAGGATATTCTTTTCAATAAATATTTTAAATAGGTTTTACATTTGTACAACGTGAAATCAAGCCAAGTTAGTTACAGATACATTTACAGAATGGTCTAAGGTTTAGGGACTGTATGGATATGGATTTTTTTTCTTTGAATTTCTCAGTATTAGGATGACACATATATACAGATGAATGATATGATCATGAAAAAAATGAATGAAGAAAGCAGGGAAGACCGTTAGTTTACTGAAGGCAAAGGGAGGAATGGCGCTTGAAAATGCTCTTTCTGAATTCGCATCCCAGGTCTGATCAACAAACGACAGCCTCAGTTATATTGAGAAAGTGTTGGCGAGCTACACGTGGTGTTGCTTTTGGAATTTCTTTGAATGACATTTAAAACTTTATTAGAATCTATGTGATGTCCTGTATCTACTAGGTATGCTAGGACTAAACGTTTCACCACTTTTACCTCACCATTTCCCAGCCAAGCTGAAAGGTGCTCTTGCATTCGAAAACGCATCTGCCTAGTACCATTCCATACGTGACTGAGCATTCGCCAACTACCCAATGATGCACAAAGCTAAACTGCAATAAACATCCTCTCAACTGCTCCAGATAGGCATTGTGATGACATGTCACTTGCAGCGTCTCCTCTCAACTGTAAACACGGAAACGAAGGCGTCCTCTCCACTGTCATCACTTGTCGTTTAGAACCAATGTAGTTTATGTTCCCTTTGATGATATACTTATTTGGATATCAGTTTTCATTTCGAATATCATGGATACACAAATGTTTGTTTCCCACACTCTCTTTGGAACAAATCAATCTTACTTCAAATATCAGACACCTGATTACATTACGTTTGTACTTCATCGGTATGAAGCTGAGGAAGTGTGTATACTGTGCGTTAGACGTTGGTTTTCTATATAAGCTTCTCAGTATACAGTCATCTTCTCCTCCTGTCATTAGCACATCAAGAAAATTTATAGAAATATTGATTTGTGTTTCTGTGTAAAATGAAGTGATGGGTGAGGTCTGTTGGAGTGTTTCAGAATAGATTTATCAGATAGACACTTATCAGTGGCCTAAAAACGTATCATGAATATATTGACATTACAACTGCCAATTGACGATTTGTTCTTTCAAAGGACCATTTGCTAATTTTGCCCATAATATATGCTCAAATATTGGGCCGAATAATGATCCTATAGCCACTCGGTCAACTTGTCTGTACAGATTACTATTGAGGATGAACTGGATATTCATTGTTTATCTTAACCATAGTTCCTTCAAATTCTTTGTGGGACGCCAGTATTGAATTTCCGTTTTAATAATTGTTCACGGATGTAATCCACGGTTTCCCTTAGAGAGAAATTAGTAAACAGATATGTGGCTTCAAGGAATCCTATGCATTTGCTTAAAGCATATATGTTTTTCATTTTGTTTAGAAACTGGGAGGTGTCTTTTACTCTATGTTTTGCTAACTGATCACAGAAGAGCTGAAGTAATCGTACTTCACATTTAGTGATAGTGTGGTAAGGTGAGTTGGCCGTATCTAGGATAAGTAAAAGAGGCACTTCTGGTATGTGAATTTTTGTTAGGACATGTATCTATTGAATTGTGTAGCCTATGGACTTGAAGAAATGTATTCTTGGGCAACTAAATTTATACATCTAACATTTTTCATCAAATTCTTTCCTTTCAATGTGTTTTATTCATTTAAATATATATCCTTTCAACGCATCATGTTCCCTCCAACGAAGGTCGAAGTCCTGAACTCCATAAAGCTACTGAAATTCGGGAAAGCAGTAGGACGAGATGGAATTCCCCCTGAGGCACTGAAAACAGACACAGAGACAACAACGGACATGCTCACACCATCATTGCAGCAGGTTTGGAAGGAATGAAAGATACCTGCTGATTGGAAGAAGGGCTACCTTGTCAAGCTCCTAAACAAGGAAGACCTAAGTCTTTGCAAGAACAAGAACTGGCGTGGAATCATGCTACACCCCAGTCCACTCCAAGCAAAATATTAGGCCGCATCATCCCGGAGAGACTAAAAGATGTACTGGATTAAAAATTACAACCAGAACAGGCTGGCTGGATTCAGGAAGTAGAAATCATGTGCGGACCAAATTGCTACACTTCGCATCATCATAGTACAGAGTGTAGAATGGTAGTCAACCCTCTACCTCAACTTCATGGACTCTATATAGGCCTTCGACAGCGTTGACCGAGGATTAATTTAGAAACTGCTTCAACCCCTTGGGTTCTAGTGCCACAAACCTTTAACAACTTCATTCAATAGCTACATGAAGACTCCACATGCCAAGTAATTCATAATGGGAAGCTCAGTGATGCTTTTGAAGGGAAGAAAAAAGTAAGACAAGGCTGTCTACTACCAACAATGATCTTCCTGATTGTGGTCGACTGGATCATGCAGAAAACTGTGAGCAGCGAGAAGAGGGGGATAGGCTGGAAAGATCCTAGAAGATTGGATTTCACTGATAACTTGTGTCTGATGTCACACAAACTCTAAGATATACAGATGAAAGCTAACAAGCTGACAGAAGAGGTGAGGCAGCGAAGACAAGACTTCAAGTGAACAGAGAGAAGACAGAGGTGATGAAGATACCCAACCAACCCCACGACCAACAACAACAATCTCCAATCACCATCAATGGGAGAAACTTAAGTAGCCTCCTTCACCCTTCTAGGCAGCACTGTTTCAACTACAGGCGGCACAGACAAGGAAGTCAAAGCCATGATCACAAACACAGCAAGACAGGCTTTCATTGACCTGAAACCAGTGTGGAGATCTTCTGCACTCAGCACAAAGCGTGAACAAGATCCGGATTTCCAACACCAACTTCAGTCAAGTCAGTGCTTCTATATGGTTGAGAGTTGGCGCGTTACGAAAGTCATTTCCAACAAACTACAGATATTCATAAACAAATACCTACGCTCTTTACCGAAGCTCAGATGTCCAGAATAATAAGAATAAGTAACAAGGAACTCTAACTGGGAACGAACCAACCAAGAACCTATCACCCAACAAATATGCAGAAGAAGAAAGTGGAGGTGGATTAGGCGTACACTGAGAAGACCATTAGGGGATATCACGCACCAGGTCCTCGAGTAGAATCCAGATGGGAAACGACGAAATGGGCATCCAAAGTGAGAGTGACATGGAGGAAATCGTGTGAGTAAGAAATGAGAGCTTGTGGGGAGTAGTGGAGGCAGGTTCAAAAGATTGCAGAGAAGAGAGTACACTAAAGACGTGCTACTGAAGCCCTATGTTCCACTAGGAACCCAAGGGACAAATAATAATAATAACGCATCATGTACTCTTGCACTGTTTCCAACTTTCCATTTCTTGAGTCAATAACAAAGGAGAGAAAAAATGTTACGTTATATGGAAGTGGACTTTTTGGTGCAAAAAAAGCATCAAATTTCTATCCGTCAGATGCTTATCTTGAGTTGCAGACATTTGTACCATCTGAATGAACCGCCATCAGCAAAATTACGCTTGCATTTCTGTTGATTCTTCATTATGGACCGGATGCTAATCAAAAAGTAACTGGCTATTTTACATTATTCCCTTGAATACTGTTATTATTAACATCAATCTGATGCAATAACAGTTTCGTTTAAAAGTATTGTTCTGGGAGTGACTATTTTGAAGAATTACACGCTGAGAATTCCATACCGTCATACGTATTGTTTAGAATGAAGCGATTATTATTATCATTATTATCTTTCAGTTTCTTCAGTGCATCGATCATTTGCTTTTCTGCTTTTTTGGTTAGGTCTTTCGTTAATTCTACTTTATGAAACTTACTTTCATCTTTACTGATAGATAACTGACCGGTATGTTCGAAAAACACCTTTTCAAGGTTATTTCGCTTATTCAAAAGTATGATAGAACTATTTAGTCATGTGTGATAGTGATATTTTTGGAAAACTCATTGACGTTTGTGTTGTTTTCATTTATGTTCTTCAGCGAACCATCTTCATCTTCAACACATTCAACTTTGAAGCCCAATAGGCATAGGTCAAGTATATCAACATAAAAATTAACTTAATGTTGCACACTGATATATTGGTACTAGTATTTCTATGTTTCATAGTTATTCTAATAGCCATTGGCTATTTCGTATTCCATTCTGATGCAGAAACAAACATTATGAAACGGAGAAAACGTATCAGAACTATGAGTAAACAGTTGAATAATAAAAATGCAAGACATGAAATTGCTCGTTTTTACAGTTTCGATAAACAAGCTCAGCATAAAATGAATTCATTCTCAAGTGAATTTGATCTTGATAATGGTGTAGATACTGCTGATTTTCATAGCGGTGATGATCAATCAAAAAGAGATTTTTTTGGAAATACAAGTTGTAAAGCAAGAAAAGAAAGCCTTATACCTTATCATAAACAGCAAAGACACAGTTTACAACCAATATCAATGCAACATTCATATGAAAATGAGCATACCCCATTCAGTCAAAATCAAGGCATTCGATTTATTTGTGGTCTACAAACTCCCCCAATAAACATAACAAAGCCTCAAACAGTACAACCAGATAGTAGACCAGTTACACAAAGAAAGGGCCTAACTCGAGCCTTTTCTGAAAGTTGTACGACAAAGCTTGTCAATCCGAACAACAATACTATTCATCCTGTGAATACTGAGACCAATGAGACAAGAGGAGATATTCGTTTGCCAAAACTAAGTGAGCCAAACCTACAAAGGCATATTCATCCATGGTTGAATCGTTTAAAATACAATACATCAATATTTTACACCGATAAATCTGCTTCATCTTCAAGTGAATCTATGTGGTCTGAAGCTAAACGTCGGTTAAGCAATGCAGACAAGGTATTCGATCCTGTTATGCGTATACTGTCTACAGTACCACTAAAAAATCAAACAAATGTAGACACTTCATGGATGAATTTCACTATGAATCCAAATACAAATGGAAATATATGCTTTTCATTAGCTTACACATGTACGTTGAGTACACTGAATGTTACAATTAACCGGTTAATTGGTGTTAGTAATCTCATTAAAAGTTCAGATACTTTACCTAGTCAAACATCAACAAATTTTATTGTTAGTCTACGTTTAAGACATCATAGGAAGCTTTCAATTTATAGAGAATGTGAAGACGAGGCAGAAATAAGAAAATTAGATTTAAGAGAAGAAAGTGATGGTTTTCGTAAAAAGTATTTCACTCAACCAGTTTCAACCTCATTAAATCCAAATTTTGATCAATCATTTATGTTTCCAATCACTTTGAATGAATTAAAAAATGCTGAACTAGTCTTAACAGTATTACAATCGACAACAATGAATAAATCTATAGATGGGAATGTCAGTTTAGAAGATAGTCTAATACCAAGACGAAATATTTCAATGACTTCTTATCATTCTCTAAATGTTCATAGTGGTGATAAATGTTCACGTAGAGTGAATATGATCTCTGAAGATATGAGATGTATTGGTGTAACATTTTATAAATTGAATCAACATGAACTGATAAACTGTCCAGAAAAAATGCAAAATATCTGGCAAGAACTACGTAAACTGCCTGAATTACATGATGGACAACTTGAAATGAACATGGACAATACTAACCCTACTACTACTACTACTGATAATAATAGTGATAATGGTTATAATAATGGCGTACCAATAGCATCTATTAGTAGTCCTTTAGACTATGAAACGTTTGTTTACAATTCAGAAAATGAAGAACAAAATATGAATGAAATGGAAAATGAAAAATCTTGGGTAATTATACAATTATCATTTTGATTATCTGATTGAGATAGCCATGATTTTTGCAGGCTAGTATTGATATTGGATAGTGATTGAAGGTGAAATGATAAGTTGCGCCACAATACGATTTGAAGCAGTGACTACCAGGTTTCGTACTTCAGTTGGTAAGGCATTAGACCAGAAACTCGGTGGTTGCTGGTTTGAATCTCATAAAGGCTCAAATTTTAATTTCTCCTTCAATCATCATGCAGTATCAGCTACATAATTCCTTTAATGATTTCCATATAAGTGGGAGTGAATTTTTTCTATCAGTCAGTTTCTGTTAGGTCTATTCCATGCATTAAGTCTTTGTCTAACAATAAGGCTACATGTATCACCAATGTACGGTAGCTTAATGAATTCACCTTTCCTTAGGGCAGACTATAAAGTATTTCTAAATGATCTCTCCATTTTATGCCTACTTATGAACTCAGTGAATGATTACATTTCCAAATAGCATAAAACATGCATTCTGTATTCCACAGTTGATCATCAAAAAGTAAAATACACCAAAATGAGACCGTTTGAGCCAGAATATTCACTGAAAACTACAAATATCAGCAAGTTTCTAAGGTTTTATTCGCCTCTAGTAAGAACTTTTAAGTGCAATAGACAATGAGAGAAAATGAATCTTTTATATTCCAGCCTCTTGAACATTAATCTTCTTGAAACTCACTGAGTATTCATGTAACACATTATATAATTTTGATATGGATGCATAAGAAGATTATAACTGCGTAGAAGGATTGTTTATATGGTTGAAAATTTCAAGTGGAAAAGGATAGAACATTCCCCAGTAATTTCTGGTAAGACGTCGGAATAAACTGTCACAAAGGGAAGGAATAAACAAAATGATTGCAAAACAAAAGTGATCACGTCATATGTAGATTATTCGGAGTGAACAATAATCTACAGTGGCCATAGCAAAGAAAGAAGTTGGAGATACTTCTTTGTAGCGTATAATCATGGTTTCAAGTTTTAAATTGTTAATGCTTCAGCTACACTCATATGTCTTAGCTTCATTCCTTTCTAGTACCTTGGTCGCATTCTGTACAGAATTTTGAAAAACTTTTCAAAAGCAGCCGAATTTCCTGAGCATATTAAGTGGTGTTACAGGGCTGAAGATGCATTTCCGAGTTCTCTGTTTGTCAGCCAAGTTGCATACTGTTGGTGAGTGCGTAACACAAGCTGATGCATGATACGGCCGATATACTCGACTCCACCGTAGGAATTTAACTGATGTGCATACACTGATGTGACCCAATGCTCTAGCTTATCATAAGTTTCTGACAAGAGAATATGATCCTAAGATTGGTGGTAAAGAATGTTCGATTTATGGATCTTGATAATCTCTTCCTAAGTATAGCTGCAACTTTATCTCCCTTGAATTTGAGGTTCAGTAGTAAAGTCCTTTTTGGAGCAGAATGTATGCATTCTGTGTCAGTTTTCGGCTTCAGATTCCAATCTCTAAATTCAAATGGGTATCAGTTGGTCATAAGGATTTCTCACAAGTTTTCTAGTTCATCATGGATGGGATCCTCTGTGCACATTCCTCGTATTCTTGAAGATACTGAATTGATAAGATTCTTCTTTCTACTTTGAAAATTAATAAATTACCCGCTTTAAATGGGCTTACAGTTGAATATTCAAAAAGATAGTGCTGATTATTAGAAGATGAAGACATCTCACCTCAGTGTTAGGTGTTGAGAGTAGTTATTCGGGAAGAGCTCTAAGATCTAAGTTTCATGTAAAGTTCTATACCACTACAAAAGTGCTCATTGTATGACTGTCATTTAAAGTGTTAAAAAATATATGTAACAACTAGTACTCATCAATAACGAGTTACTGATTGTAAGATTTTGGTGCTCAGTATTTTTTTCAGGGGACACCATTTATCTTAGTAAAACATAATATTGTTTCAGTAACTGAATTTAGAAGGAGGATAACAAATCTTGAAGTTAAATATTTTACTTTCTACGATGAGTTTGTTGACACTTAAAAACAATAGAGAAGGCTGATAAAGTGACCAAGCTGTCAGCCTTTCCCAATAGTATTTCATATCATAATATGTGTCAGAACAAACAACTACCTCAAGTTGAATTTGATAAAGATACGTGAAAATTTATGGTGCGTGATTTTCAGTGCATAACAACGCCATATCTGGTGTCCAGTTCAACGTATTCTCAGAATAAAGTAAACGTAACCTTCCCAAGAAGATGGCAATCATGTCACAGACTTAAGAGAAATTCGTACATTGTGAAACGATCCAGTCATTTGTACACACTTAAGCTACGTAACACTTTCATATTCAGCCTAGAAAACGTTCACAAAGAGTATACGTTTGGTAATTTCTTCTTCAGGTTCTACAGTTATAAGCACATATTTGACGAATTATGCATCAACAATATTCACATTTCGCCTATCAGGTTGTTAGTAATACTATACAGTTGAGGAAGTCAGTGGAGAAAAGGCGTGAGTGAACGCCAATGATAGAATCAATTGTTACTAGGATTCAATTCAACAAAACACCTGTACTCCGTAGGTAATGCTATACGGTGATAGTTTAATAAAACAATAGGAAGGTGTTTATGAGAGCTGAATGAAACAAACTCGGAAAGATAATAATTTGAGGAATATTGGCTTGATATAATGTTATCCCTATTAAGTGACAAACTCGGTTAGGAGAATTTCTTAAAATTACTTCAGATCGTAGGGATGAAGGGGTATATACAGTATGGAATTAGGAAATTGGATTACCTAGGGTAGAATGTGAGTGAGTATGTGCTTCTCGAGTCGGGCAATGGTAGTTGTATCTGCATTACATGCTTCTTTTGAACATACAACTGAGGTTGTTGGCGTATAATTCCTCAAATATGTACATACAACTGTAGGGCGTGAAGAAAAGTCATCGAAAGAATATTCTTTGTTCTCTCACGTGGCTTTTGAATTGTAGTGTGAAATTCTAAGTGATTTAAAAGTTCACGCGCAGATGTGATCATCCACATCTTCAAGGAACATGGCACTACTTCTGCATTAATTTTAACTGTAACCAACTAGTTTCATAGATGATAGACAAAAAGTCCGTCTTACAGATGGAAATGAAATAGATATGCTTCTTGCTTTCAGTGCTAAACATTTTATTATCTATACAGTCCATGCTGTCATGTCATCGTTATGCTGTGATTACGTTAAGCTTTCTAAACATATAGCCCAGATCTATCATTCTTGGAAAGGTAGTTAGCGCTTAGTTTTCTACATGCTTTATCACTTCTTGTTTAGCATCGTGGTAGAAAATTTCACTAGGTTTAGAGGAATAATTTGAGAAACTGGATTTACTAGAATGTTAAGCAGATATTTGTATCGGTATCATAAAGTGTAGTGAGTTTTGCTGAAATAAGAAACTTGTTTTACCCTGAAATGAAGTAACCCAGTGTGCAACCAATACACCGAAATAAGAAGCTGTTGATATAGTCGCAATGGTAGAGTGCGTAGAAATTCAAAACTTTTGGGGGAGGGTGATCATTCCTCATGAGATATTTGATGCTTGAAATCCAGCGTCACTGATTCAAAAGAGGGTTTGAAGAGTGATTCAATCTAACTTGATGTTCAGTCAGTAAATGCTTACTTTACTACCTAATCTTTCTAACAAATGTTTCTTTTCTAGGCAAGTGCTATTACTAGGGTTCCTCGAGGTGAACCTAGTAACAAGTCGATGGCAAAAGTATCTATCTTATACAAGAGAGAATCATCCATCCTTGAAATATCCGTGGAAGAGTTTAGAAATTTGAAGATGTACACAAATGAGAGTACGTTGAACGGTTTTTCATTCTTTGTAGCAACGTTTTAGTTTGTAGAATCAAAAGGAATTCCTCGAATTAAAGCAAAAACTCTTCATTATTTTCGGAAGAATGAAGAAAGCTTCTGAATAATTTAACAATAACCGCTGACAAACTTTTTCCAAATACACACATTAGATATAGAAACTAATCTAGTCTTTGCTGAATGTGAGAGCTGTGGAATAGAGAATTACCAGCAGACCACCTTCTTTGCTAACCTTCTTCAATTTAGTGGGTGAAATCTCTTTGTTACTTGAATGCCACTTCGTGTTGCCTTAGCGACTCTTTAAGATTTTAGGTAAAAATATCGAAAAGTTCATACAAAGAAGTCGTTTACCCTGTTTAGGAGATCATATTTGAATCGCATGGTATAAAAGGGCGACTTTGGACTGCACAGTGACTAAATTCACAAAAATAAACAGTTATAAGTTTCATATAGTTAGTTCCCTTTATAAATTTTTGTTGTTCTTGCTTTTCATAATGGTTATAAGATATATCATCCATTTTCTAATTTATTGCAAACTGCATGGTTTACGTTAAAATCCCTCATTAGTATCTAGTTTCATTCATAATCACTTGACTTTAGTATCAGCTCAATTTATTTGAGGAAAGAAGGGCACTATAGATTGTGATCCAAGACATAAATATCATGAACTGATGAAACACGTTACTTGATATGTGATATTCCTTACTAACGCAAACCTAGAAATGAAACTCTCTAGGTATGCCTATCAGCAATCTTCAAATTATCATTCATTTCTAGGTTATTGTCCACCAACTTCATGTAACGCCATTCAGAACTTCTGAGTATTTTAAATTCTGTCTGAATGAGATGAATTCCTTTGAGTAAATCTACTTGTCATAGATGAGCGAAATGGTAATCTGTTGATCACATCTGTGTAACTTACTCGATATGTCTGAAAAGCAATGTGAGAAGTTTCAAACCGTTCATGTCACTCTTTAATGCTATGTTCAAAACATGTAAGGAAGTAAAGGAGCTCAGTTGTCATTCTAGTAAAATCTTATTCGACGCTTAAAAATTGAATTTCTGAGAACTACTGCAATAATTTATTTAGAAAATTGCAAGCTACTTGCACACAAAAAAGTAGTTTAACACTATTTTCAAAAACAGATAAGCACTTTCCTGATAGATAATTTTTTTTAATTTGTAGCTGAAATGATGTTTCAAGCACTATTCTGTCTCGGAAATACAACCTTATCGGTTGTAAAAGGTAAACCATTCAAAATAGCAAAACTAAAAAGTGATGAAGCTAATATACATGAGAAACAGAAATTCAATACATTTAACCAAATTTCAATTCCTTATACTGAGCATTTATCATTGAATGTGGACATGAATCGATTACTTAACTTCACTAATATTGGAGTCCTTTTGCAAATATTTGTTCGCACAGACTTATCGAGCCACCTGCGACGTTTGGCAAATATTTCAGTTGGTGAAACCAAAGTTACTCATGATTTGTCTCTGGTTCAATGGAATGATTTGATAAAAGAATTAAAACGACTGAAAAATGATAACCTATTCACTGCAACAAGGAAAATAACCTATTGGCATTTAATTGATGCAGTTTAATAAGTGGGTTGAAACAAATCTAACTAGAAGGCAGAGAAAGCATTTGTGCATTCCAATAGTCAAAGAACATACCCCGTGACCTCTAGATGTTTACTACCATCAATTCGCTTGTGTAGAACATGAAGTGATTATCGCTTTTTTAATATATAAAGTATTTAAAATTGTTGTTTATATAATCTGTTTTAATTCACTGTCTCCTTGGATTTCTCCCACAGACTTAAGAAACCGTCCTTCAAGGGTACAAAAAAGGGGGGTAAACAGGTTACAAAGATGTTATTTACCCAAACGAGATGAAAACATTTATACTATAACGCTTGTATAGGTAGGCATCATTGTTCACTTAGGCTATTACTCATGTGAAAGCTCCACATCATATCGGATAAAGCGCACTTAACTTCGGTCCACTTTTACTCTAATCGCTGAAATGGAAATGAATAGAGATAGTAATGTGAGTTACACGGTTATGGCTACCAGAGGAGTCCAGCATGAGCGTTTCGTTTCAATGACATCAAATTCACAATGGAGAAAGAATCAAACAACCAACTACCATTCCTGGATGTTTTGGTCAGCAGGACAAATGCCGGAAGGCCGGAAACCCAAGTGTACAGGAAGCCAACACACACTGACCGAATCCTCAACTACAATAGCAACAACCTAACAACACACAAAATCAGTTGCATGCATACTCTATTCAAAAGAGCGAGAACACACTGCAGCACAACAGCTTCACTGAGAAACGAAGAAAATTACTTGATGTCCACCCTAAAGAAGAACGGCTACCCACGAAACTTTATCAGAAGATGCCTATCCCGTGCGTCACCAACTACAAAGTCATTGACAGAAATCAACAAACTCATCGTCCTACCTTACATGAAGAATGTATCAGAAATCACAACAAGATTGCTGAAACCACTTGGAATTGGTGTGGCTCATAAACCAACAAATTCCCTCCAAACACCATTATGCAGACCAAAGGATGCAACAAGCAAAGAAGACAAACCCAATATCATTTACGAAATCAACTGCAATAACTGTAGTCAGCACTACATTGGACAAAGTGGTCGCCCTCTTCGTCTTCGTCTACATGAGCACCAATAGGCTATTAAACGCCACGACATTTCATCACTCATTTCAATGCATATGGATAACAACTATGGACATGAATTCAATTTCGACAATGTAGAAATCTTGGACAGAGGAAACACAAAGAATGTCAGAGAACTCCTAGAAACTGGGAATTCAGGTCAGTCAGCAATCAACAGATGTATAGACATAGACCCGATCTATCAACCAATAAGACAAATGATAAACGACAGAAAGGTTGGAGGTGAAGTGGGAGAACAGCCAACAGGAAAGTCTATACAATTAATGACACAACAATCGAAGGAAACAACCAATCACAGACCACATCGTCAGAGCAAGCCACCAAATCACTCACGGAGAGATATTGACAGCTCACTTCATACTGAAGTTAGTGCTGATGATGTTGTCTAGCAAGGCTATGAAAGCCACACGATTAAACAACCCAGCTCAGAGAACACAATGCAACCAAGATCATATCACTACTTTATGATAGTTGGTTACTTAAAATGAAGACGGTTTCTTTATTGACCTTTATTGCAGAACGTAACAACAGATTATTGTTAGAGAGACTCATAGCTTATAATCCCTTAATTCTATCTGCTGTACTTGCCGTTCTCTGTAAACTGCCTAGGGTTTCTTCCAGTTTAGCATTTGGTTTAGACTTTGAGTAGCATCTTATGACCACATTTACACAAAGTTAAAAATAAAGAATATTTGAATCTATTCTTTTCTGCAAATCAGCTTTCAAGAGCCTGCTATTTGAAGACGCTGACGAAATGGAGGCCCTTTTAAATTCGTTTGGTAGAAATCTGAGTATGTTTGGCTGGCATGAGTTTCGCACCTGTCAAATGTAAGATGATGCTCCAAGACTCGAATGCTGCAACTGTTCCCGGTTCAGTGATTGAAAGTAAAGTGGTGGAATGCGTCGACTGCCTCACTGACTTGAGGAGTTGCATCAGCCCGTACGTGATGGTTGTTGACGAAATCTCAGCTCGAATACAGAAGGCCCGTTTGACACTTGCCAATCTGCGTCATTTGTGACACCGACCAACGAGATATTCGACTATTTATCAGAGGGCGAGTATACTACGCTGCAGTCCATTCTGTAATACTTTGCACCTGTGAAGCGTGGTTGTTAAAATTAGGAGAAATGAAACGACTATAGGGTTTAGATCGCATGTATTTTCGTGGCATTACACACGTTTGGTGGAATCACCGTGTTTGCAGTGTTGAAGTGATGTACAGAGTAGTGGGCAAGAGAAGTACGTCGATTGGTAATGTTGTGAAGCCTGGTCGACTGAGATGCCTTGCAGATGAACTGCGCATACCGAGCGACCCGCCTCGATCTGCAATGCTAGGCTGGGGGAAGTCGGGTAAGTTTGGAAGAGGGTTCAGGGTGGTCAGACCAAAGTGAAAGCACCAGCTGATGAAGCCTCTTGTTGTTGGTTTGAACCGTGTAGAGAGACGTAGACTGCCTGGTTGATGTTTCGAGACGACAGGAATCACTGGTTGATGACTCTTTAGGACATGGTTGAAAATCGGTCTCAATCATACAGGTATATTCACTCCTCAACATCTTCTAAAGCTTGAATATTCACACCAACCTTTACTTTCTGGTGTTTTATTCTCTCATATTACTTTGTCGTTTTCGATACAATTCTTTTTCTGCCCACCCATTCTCTGTGTACTACTGTGAAGTGTGGTAACTTCAGCCAATCCACTTGTGTGTGAGGTTCTACTTTGATTTTATCAGTCAGTTATCAAAAATTAAAATGTTCATTGCCTCATCAAATGATGGTCATTATTTTCACCTCTGTTTACTCAGGATTGTTTTCAAATGGGGCATGATAACTGAGATGGTCTTTTTAAGTGTTGAAGGAGTTGAGGTTGTAGAATACAGAATAAATTAGGTGAGATGGTGTATTGAAGATGGGAAAGAAGAAGGAAACCACAATGTAAACACCGAGGTTAGAGTAGCTTTTCACTTAACTTACTGTTCGGTTCTTTTGAGAACGTTTTGTGAAAAGAAGACAATATGTGCTTTTGAATTATAGCCAAGAGAAAAGTACATATGATGCTGCTTGTACTATCCCGTTGTTGATTTGACCGAATTGATTGATCTCCATTGGGATATGGGCTGCTGCACTGGTACCTTGAAATTGCTTGTATTAACAAATATGTTATTAGTGATTTGATGGTTTGGTGGCCTAGCTGACAGCACTTTTGTGTTTGAAATGACTGGTTCTGGGTTTCAGTCGTGGTGGGAACAACATCATTCACAGTGGTGTAGGTGTATCTGCTTGATGAGTCCCAAAAATGACCGAAACGGGCTTCCTGGATTCCACTGCTAACCACTATCGACCATCGAGGGAAGACTGCCTTTTAATTCCAAAGCTTCATGTTGTTAAATATAAGTTCAAGTTTGTCTTATTGAAAAGGATATACCCAAAGCTCCATTCACTTTGTCTCTATACTTAAAAGCATAACGTTATCAGTAATTTTAGCAGGCTTCTTACTTTCGTCTAAATATACTTATCATCAACATCTACCTTAGAGCACATACACATTTAATTGTGGGCCCAATAAGCCACCTTCCTATTTCTTATAGTGTAAATAGCTGGTAATGTTTTTTTGACATCAGTCAGTTGAAATTATTATTTAAAATGTCAGCAAAGCTAAGATAAATATATTAATAAACTGGAGACTGCAAGTACCAGAGCAACAACTGACAGCCGTTGCAGAAGAGGTGGCTGTCACGCTATAGTGTCCTAGTACGTAATGCTTAGCGTTTGATGCTATCGGTGCGAGGTTCCAGGTTTAGTGAGAATACTACCACTCACTGACCAGTCCTAAATTGGAAGAAAGGCAATGTTGAGAGACCTGTACAGAAGTCCATATGCCAATAGAGACAGATCGATTAGGTTTACTATAACAACAGAGAATTACAAGTATATCAAATAGTAATAAGAGATAACAATATTCTTTGGTGTAAGTAAAATAATTCTGTTACTACTTTATTTAATAACAAAATTTATATTACTCATGGAAAAATATGTTTGTGTAAAAGTGTGATGATTGAAGGTGTTGGAAGCATTTCAACTAATAGTTTCATGGTTATCAGCCTACTGTTTACTGACTGATTCACTGATTTAATATGATAATCAGGTTAGAGTTTCAACTTAATCACCAAATGTTGTGTAACAGCTTTTAAATTGTTATTAGGCTACACTATCCCTTTGCTAGTGAATTGAAAAAAATTATTATTCATGTCAGAGCCATTCAGTAAAGGATAGTCAACACGGATGGGCTGGTTGCTCAGATACAAAGGACCGGTTGGCATTTGCCAACCTGGGTCACCTGTGGCACCGACTGGCGGGATATTCGACTATTTATCGATGGATGAGTACACTGCTCTGCCATCTGTTCTGTCTTGTTTTATGGCTATGACCCATGGCTGTTAGAAGTAGAAGACGTGAAATGATTGCAAGGTTTAGATCATAGGTGTCTTCATTGCATTACTCGCGTTTGATGGAATCACTATGTTAGCAATGTTGAGGTAAGGAGAAGAGTACTAGGCAAGATAGGCAAGTAGATTGATGAGGTTTATGAACCTTCATCGACTGAGAGGGCTTGCACATACACTGTTTCATGCTGAACAAGTCACCGCCTACCTCTATATCTCATGCAGCTGGAGGTTGGATCAGGTTGAAAGAGGGTTCAGGGTGGCGAGACCAAGTCGTGGCACTGGTCCATGAAGTCTCAGACTTCTGGTGTGAGTCGTGTAAATAGACGTAGACTGCTTGGTTGATGTTTCCAAGAAGAAAGGAATCATAGGTTGAGTACTGACTCTTGCCAACATGGCTGGAAATTCATCATAATGGTGCAGATGTATTCACTACTTGAAATCTCAGACTATTTATTCTTGCAAACTACTTTATCTTCTTTGGCATTACTCCTTTTCTATCCACCTGTTCTTTGTGTACTAACGTGAAGTGTGGCGTCTTGAGCCACCGTACCTGTGTGCGAGTTCTACACTGATTTTGTCAGTCAGTCAGTTATTCAAAGTATAGACTTTGCGATTTCACTT